CCTCAAGCTGTCACCCTGGGTAGAGTGCCATGGCATCACAGCTCACAGCAACCTCCAACTCCTGGGCTCAAGCGAGTCTCCTGCCTCCGCCTCCCCAAGTAGCTGGGACCACAGGCGCCCGCCACAACACTTGGCTATTTTTTGGTTGTAACCGTCATTGTTGTTTGGTGGGCCTGGACTGGATTCGAACCCACCACCTTAGGTGTATGTGGCTGGCGCCTTAGCGACTTGAGCCACAGGCGCTGAGCCAGATTCTCCTTTCTAAAAGCAAAGTATTTATCACTCAGTAGTGATGTTAATAAGGGGTTTTCCATCCTATACTGCTATAGTATCTTTGGAATTTTGATCTGTTTAGAAGCTAGGCTTAAAAAAGTGGTAACATGTTTTTTTCATGTATCATCCTGTTATTTCTTGTTTTAACAACAAACACAAGTCCTTTGCTCTCAATTACTAAAGTGTCTGTAATAAGGTATAAATGGTATTTAGGGAATAAATGAAATGCCTGTTATGTTTCTTTTTCTTTTATTTTTAATTTTTTATTGACATATAATAGTTGTACATATTTTTGCAGTACACATATTTGGGTACATATATACAATGAGTTGTGATCAAATCAAGGTAACTAACTGGTATATCCATCACCTCAGACATCTTTACTGCTTTTCTATTTCTCTCTTTACAGAGTCTCACTTTGTTGCCTAGAGTAGAGTGCAGTGGCATTGTTACAGTTCACTGTTGCCTCAAACTCCTGGGCTCATGTAATCATCCTGCCTTAGCCTCCCAAGTAGCTGGGACTACAGGCATATGCCACCAAACTCGGCTAATTTTTTCTATTTTTCAGACTCTTGTTCTTGCTGGGGCTGGTTTCAATCTCTGTTTCAAGTGATCCTTTCCCCTCAGCCTCTCAGAGTGCTAGGATTATAGGTGTGAGACGCTCATACAGCCTTGTCTGGTTCTTTTTAAAAATAATTTTCTGTCAGCTTGGCACCTGTGGTTCAAGTGGCTAAGGCGCCAGCCACATCACCTGAGCTGGCAGGTTTGAATCCAGCCCTGGACCACCAAAAAACAATGATGGCTGCAACCAAAAAATAGCCAGCGATTGTGGCGGGCGCCTGTAGTCCCAGCTACTTGGGGAGGCAAAGGCAGGAGAATCACTTGAGACCAGGAGTTGGAGGTTGTTGTGAGCTGTGATGCCATGGCACTCTACCCAGGGTGACAGCTTGAGGCTCTGTCTCAAATAATAATAATAATAATAATTTTCTGTCTACTCCTTAATATTTCCATTTGTTTAGGCCAGGTGCAGTGGCTTACACCTGTAATCCTAGCATTTGGGAGGCCAAAGCCAGTGGACTACCTAACCTCACAAGTTTGAGACCAACTTGAGCCAGAGCGAGATCCCTGTCTCTAAAAAATAGCTGGGCATCGTGGCAGATGCCTGTAGTCGCAGCTACTTGGGAGGCTGAGGCAAGAGGATTGCTTGAACTCAAGAGTTAGAGTGTGCTGTGAGCTAAGACTCCAAGGCAATCTACTGAGGGTGACAAAGTGAGACTCTGTGTCAAAAAAAAAGAAAGGAAATATTTCCATTTGTTTAATAAATATCTTTCAAGAGCTTGCTGTAGCTGTCTCTGTATTGGTGCTGGAGATACATACTGTACTTCTTCTTGCTCATGATTCATGGTTCAATGGGAGTCGATGAGTAAACAGAGTGACTGTACTCAGATGGGGCAAGAATCTGCGATTGGGAAGCCAAAGTCAGAGATCCTGTCCAGCCTGACTACCAAAGAATGCTTCTCAGAGACTGTAAGAATGAGGAAGAGTTAGCCAGATAGGAGTTGTGGAAAGTCAGGGAGGGCAGAATAGTATGTTGAACACAAATAATCCGGTACTAGCGAAAGCAGGCACATTTGAAGACATGCAGTTATTTCAGAATGGTAGGCATGACTCGTAGCTTTTCTGTCACTATTTCCCTTGTTTTATTTTTGAGACAGAGTCTCACTCTAGTGCCAGGGCTAGTGTGCAATGGTCTCAGACTAGTTCACTGCAACTTCAAACTCTTGGGTTCAAGCAATTCTCCTGCCTCAGCCTCTTGAGTAGCTGGGACTACAGATGCCCCTCAGGACATCTGCCTAATTTTTCTATTTTTCGTGGAGATGGGGGTCTCACACTTGCTCATGTTGGTCTCGAACTCCTGACCTCAAGGGATACTCCAGCCTTGGCCTCCCAGAGTGCTAGGATTACAGACGTAAGCCACTATGTCTGGCCACTTCCCTTGTTTTACTAATTTTTTAGGAATATAGTAATAAGACACTGGTGATTTAACCATATGAACAAACAAGACCTCCTGGTTACAGTAAGTACCAAGTAGACGTGGGCTGGCTGCTACAGCTCCCAGGAGCTGAGCTTTAAGGGTCCAGCCTTGGCCTCCTCACTTGGATATTTCTTAAATGTGAGGACAGTTATCCGATTCAGTCTCTGCTCTGTTCCCAGCTATGTCACAGAGACTGGTAGCTGGGTAAATAATTGTTGCATAAATAGAATGGCTACCCTGGCCCCTGGGGAAGATGAGTATTACTCTTTGGTGCACTATTGTCAGTTTGTGGCTCCCAAGGTGAATTCTGGGGTGTCTCTTAGCAATGACATGGTTAACTTAGTTGCAGGCCTCATGTATCAGATTTTGCTAAGGGGAATCTACTCAAAAATCAGCGATGCCCTTGATATTGTCAGCCAATTAATTCTTTAAGTAGTCCAAGATAGGAAAGATTTGCTGATTGGATTTTATCTGTCTTTTAAGATTGATCTTTGATTACATCTCATTCCAGCTGGACCTCCTTCTTTCTTCCCTCCTCCATTACTAATGGTGTGAGATCTAATTACCTCATCACTCCTTTAATTTATTTATGAAAAGGCTGAGGTTAAAGTAAAGACTGTAACTCCTGGGTCCTCAGGGGACCATCTATAAAAGCTTTCCTCCTTTTCTTTCTCCTCCCTTACACATGATAAAACCTCTCTTTTGTCTCTGGCAAGTTAGAATAGTTCTTATTTACAAATTTAAATAAATTAAATTTCCCTCCCAAGACTGCATGGAGGCTGGTCCTTTGGGTTAAGTTTGGCCTGTCAGTTCCCTATAGATTATTCAATCTATCAACACTAACTCACTGATCTCAAGCAAGCAGCTTTCAAAACCTGCACACAGGGTGGTACCTGTGGCTCAAAGGAGTAGGGCACTGGTCCTGTATGCTGGAGGTGGCGGGTTCAAACCCAGCCCCAGCCAAAAACTGCAAAAAAAACCCTGCACCCAGTTCCTACACTTCTTGCCTTCTTCACAAGAAAATTGGGGGAAAGGAGTCTCTTTAAATTTTATTATTACACAAGTAATATATGGATAAATTCATCTTGTAAAAAATTAATACATTGAATGGCTTGGTGCCTGTGGCTCAAGTGGCTAAGGCACCAGCCACATACACCTCAGGTGGTGGATGTGAATCCAGCCTGGGCCCGCCAAGCAACAATGACGGTTACAACCAAAAAATAGCTGGGGGTTGTGGTGGGCACCTGTGGTCCCAGCTACTTGGGAGGCAGAGGCAGGAGACTCGCTTGAGCCCAGGAGTTG